CCCATTGGCGAGGCTCCTGCCGAGACCGTAAAAAAGCTCCAGAGGGAACTGGGCGACTACTTCAATGGCGCACGGCATCAATGGCCGGCCAAGCACCCCCCGCCCACGGGCCGCCCCTGCGCCGACCCTACGAGCCAGCAGCCTGAATCCTGCACGCGATTCCTCAAGGACTGGCCCAGTTGCAAATGCAACGTCTTCAAGGCGGACACTGCTCTCCACCTGGGGGTCAACTGGGGCGCAGTCCGCGTTCGGGTCAACGACAGATGTAGAACCGCGGGCACCCCTGGCAAGGCCAAAGGCAAAGGGCCGCGCGAAGACAGCGACGCCCGGTGAACAAGAACGGTGGAACCCAGGAGGGCAGCGGGCTCGCGCCAGCCCTGGGCGCACTCCTAGGTCTCGCCCAGACCGCTCAGGCGGCCACACACAACTGTACTCGCGGACGCCCCACAGCACACCTCAGGGTGCCCCAGCTGGGGCTGGACGTGCCCAGCTGGGGCTGGCGGCCGCCCCTGGCCCTAGAGCCCCTCCCGGGGCGCCACTTTGCGGCCTCTCCCCCCCAGATGACTCCCGCGCCCCCCAGCGCGCTGCAGGCGGCTCGGGGATTAACCCCTTCCCAGTGGGCCCCAGTTACTGCTAGAGCCCTTGCGGCGACCCCGTTGTAGCCCCGCGCCGCCCCGCACTCTGCCCGCGCCCCTGGCGCCCCCCCCCGGGGGGGGGGCCAGGGCTTTCGCGCAGCGGTCTCATCGCGCACCCTGCCCCCACCCCACGGCCCCCTGCCGAGATGCTCTGGCCCGATCGTTTTCTTACTACCACCGCGGCTGTTAGCCGCCCCCCCTTCTCAACGCGGCTGCCCTCGCCGCGTCGACCAGGGGCGCTCACTCACACGCGACCATTATCTTCGCGGCCGTTAGCCCCCCCCCCCCCCCCCCCCCCCTTCTCAGCGCACATGATTGTCTCGACGACGTGCCGACGCCCCCCCCCCCCCCCCCCCCCAGGGCGCCGAGGCAAGCTGACATTGGGAAGCTGGTTCGACTATAATTGCTCAGCGGTTGCAAGCTGCGACCCCAACCCAATAGTGCACCCACCCCCGCGGCTGTTAGCTGCGACCCCGCTCGATCGCCGCAATTTCCTGCGGCTGTTAGCCCCCCCCCCCCCCCCCCTCGTCTACAGCACGCCACAGGCCCTCCGTGCCCCCCCCCCCCCGGGCGCGCGGGCCTATGCCCTCCGTGCTACGTCGGCTGCCCCGCGACGGCCCTGATGGACGGCCCTGATTGGTCGGCTCTCGTGACGGGGGCTTTCGTGCCCTTCCTGGCCATGCCCCGCCCACGCCGTTCGGCTCACGGCATCTGATTGACGCCGATTTGCAAGCCGAATGCGGTTACACGTAGCTGGGCACGCACTTCGAGGACGACGGGTTCCTGGCGCGCCTGGGCTTGGTCGTTCGCTTCTGCGCTGCGCAGCGTTAGTCTAGTCGCCCGCCCTCTTCTCGCCCGTCCGTCGCCCGCGCTCTTTCTTCGCTCTGCTTTTTTTTTCCCCGCGCCTGCCAGCTTTCGTTCAGGTCCTCGCCGGCGCATAGGCCTGGCTACATTCGACGTGCGGGCGCCGCGCGGCTGCCCGCTTGCGGTTGCGAACAAATTACCCCAGTGCGACCCCACCTAGGAGTTGGAGCATCTAGGAAAGCGACATCTACATCTGCCCCGACAGCTACATTAACAACTACACGTGCATCTAGATCTACAGCAGCACCAACAGCGAGACTCACATCTACATCTACATATAGACCTGCATCTACATCTACATCTACATCTACACCTAGACCCACATCTTCATCTACATCTACACATACGTCTACTGCTATGCTATGATATGTTATGAGATGCTATGCTGCGCTGCGCTATGCTAAGCTGTGCTATGCTATGCGATGCTGCGCTGTGCGATGCAATGAAACGATTTGCTATGCTATGCTGCGCTATGATGTGCAGCGCTATGCTATGATATGCTACGCTGTGCGATGCTATGTTAATGATGCGCTAAGTTGAGCGAAGCTAAGCTAGGCTAGGTTAAGCTAAGCTAGGCCAGGCTAAGCTAAGTCAAGCGAAGCTAAGCTAAGTTAAGCTAGGCTAAACTAAGATGATATAAGCAAAGCTAAGCTAAGGGGCCGTCACTGGGGGAACCGCGGGGCGGATACTGGGGGAACTGCCCCGGGCGAGGACCACTGCCCGGCCCTTTAAGCATACACGGTAAGAACCTTTTCTAGGCAGAGCCCAGGTAGGGAAAAAGTGGCCCCACTAGCCCATCCGGAAACGATGTCCAGGCGAGTTGCCGTGGGGGGAGCATTCAGTGGAATGAAGGATTGGGGAAGCCGTGTATCCCAAGAGGGGAAGCTGGAGGAGGGGGAGGGGGGGGGACAAGCTAGGCGCGCTCGCGTCATATCTGACATCCTACCCCTCCCTCCCACCCCTTTACCATGGCGCAGATCCCTTCTCTACTCGCACAGTCGGATGTCGAGCAGGGCAATGATCCCGAAAAGGTACGCGATGCATTGTAGAGTACGGCATGGGATGGCATAGAAGAGCACCGCAAAGCGCAGCATCAACCGAGCATTGCATTGCATGCCGTGGCATGGCACGAGACATGACGCCAGCGCTGCAGCGGGAGCACGAGTCGAAACGAGCGGAAACGCGGAAATGATGCCAGCGCTGCAGCGGGAGCACGATTCGGAACGAGCGGAAGCACGGAAATGAGGCCAGCGCTGCAGCGGGAGCACGATTCGGAACGAGCGGGGCCCGAAAATGAGGCCGGCGCCTCAGCAAGAGCAGCATTTTTTCGGGGACAAAAAAAATGCAAGCGAAAACCCATTTCTGGGGAAACCTGTGTGTAGAAAAAACAGTACGCGGGGGGGGGTCGGACACTTTCAAACCGTCATCAGGGGAAGAGGGAGAGTAGTATTCATATTGAGTAATTGTGGAGGGAGGAGGGAGGAAGAGAAATAGGCGGATTAGGAAGACGAGGAGGAGGAGGAGGAGGAGGAGGAGGGCGAGCAGAAAGGCCAGAGGCCTCTTGGATGCCTCCCGATATCTCTTCGGGTGTCTCTTGATCGTTTGTTGGAGGTTTTTTGGTGCGTCCTCTGGACATCTTCGCGGTTTCCGAGCCCTCCTGGAACGTCTTGAGTGTGTCGGGGGGGCCTCTTGAGGCCTTCTGGGGGTCTCTTGGGAGCCTCTTCGGGACCTCTTGGGGCCTGATGGATGGGGCCTCCTGGGCGCCTCTTGGGGCCCTCTCGGGGCACTCTCGGGAGCCTTGGGGGCCATTTTGGGGCCATCTTTCTGGAGATCGATCAAAGAAGGAGGGCTATTTAAGTAGGCGCCCCCCCCCCAGGATGCCAGACTGAGCCCGAAACCTATGTGAAACCAATGATGTTCTCCTTCTCGCCGAGGCCGTTGCGGACGCTCCAACTACCCGCCGCAGGGGGAGGGGGTAGAGGAATGAGTAAAACCTTCCCCGAAGGGGAAGAAGGGAATTGGAAGAGGAAACCAGCTAAACCATTCAAGCCTTTAGGACGGCCGGATTGCGACCCGTGGGGCGATTTTCGGGCGTAAGCCATTTTGGCGAGATCAGCAATACGCAGTACTGTGAAGACGTGCTGTCGTTGCCCTTCTACTGATAATCCGTAAGGGCTTCGCCCCCTGCCGCCGGCCCCCTCTCTCGGAGAATGGGCCATGGAAGAGCTAAGTCATGAGGCTTTGGCGCTGTCGTGCAGCAGTATCGGAACTTCATGCGAGGCCGATTCGCAATCGGCAAAACCAACTGATCACAAGAGGGGTTACCACACAGGGCGATTGGTAAGACGTGTATGGTTTACGAGCTTGGTTACCACACCTTGGGATTAAAGGGCCGAGGGAGTACTCGCAGTTTGGGTTACCACGCCTTGCGATGGATGTGCGTGAGGGGTGGCACCGAATTTCAGAAATGTGGCAAATCCCCTGTGTTTTTGGACCCTGACCCCGCGGATCTGCGTGAGGGGTGGCACCGAATTTCAGAAATGTGGCAAATCCCTGTGTTTTTGGACCCTGACCCCGCGGATCTGCGTGAGGGGTGGCACCGAATTTCAGAAATGTGGCAAATCCCCTGTGTTTTTGGACCCTGACCCCGCGGATCTGCGTGAGGGGTGGCACCGAATTTCAGAAATGTGGCAAATCCCATGTGTTTTTGGACCCTGACCCCGCGGATCTGCGTGAGGGGTGGCACCGAATTTCAGAAATGTGGCAAATCCCTGTGTTTTTGGACCCTGACCCCGCGGATCTGCGTGAGGGGTGGCACCGAATTTCAGAAATGTGGCAAATCCCTGTGTTTTTGGACCCTGACCCCGCGGATCTGCGTGAGGGGTGGCACCGAATTTCAGAAATGTGGCAAATCCCCTGTGTTTTTGGACCCTGACCCCGCGGATCTGCGTGAGGGGTGGCACCGAATTTCAGAAATGTGGCAAATCCCCTGTGTTTTTGGACCCTGACCCCGCGGATCTGCGTGAGGGGTGGCACCGAATTTCAGAAATGTGGCAAATCCCTGTGTTTTTGGACCCTGACCCCGCGGATCTGCGTGAGGGGTGGCACCGAATTTCAGAAATGTGGCAAATCCATTGTGTTTTTGGACCCTGACCCCGCGGATCTGCGTGAGGGGTGTCGATTTCGAGCCCCCCCAGCAATTCAGACAACGCGCCCAGGGGGTGCTAAAAATCCCGTTTGGGCCTCCCCCCCCCTCGCGCGGTCAATCAATTAGTTACAGTAACCAGCAAGAAGCAGAATTGTAACACTGGAAACTACAAGCTACAACTGGTACAGGAAACTGCGAATCACGGTCCTACAGCCTGGTGGCCCCACAAGGGGGCCGGCGGATTTGTGGGGGGGTCGCAGCTCGATCGAACACGAGTCGCCAGAGGTCTGACACTTGGTGCGGTTGGCTGGGGGGGTGCTCGTCCGCAGAGCGGCACTGTCGCACGCTCCCAGCGGCGCGTTCGTGGTTGGGGCCGCCGAGCTGGCCGTCTGGCTGTACCTCGGTTTTATGACCCAGGCGGTCGGCCTGCAGTTCACGCAGGACAGGGCTTCCGCTTCCCTTCTGGGACAGTTGCCTTCGGCGAATGTGCTTGTGCATGTATATGTTGCCTCTACGGAAGAAGCGATGAGGGGCGGGTAGGAAGAGGGGAGTGGAACAAAAAGCTAGAGGCTGGAATTTCGACGCCATTGATTGGAAAACCTTCCTTCCGTAAGGCCAAGCAATGGTTCGGTCGCTTCTGGCCCGATGGTTGTCCAATCCAAAGCGACACACGAAGCTGCACGCCCAATGAGGGCTCAGCGTTCGATCTAGTTGTTGTTGGAAAGCTGATCCAGCTTTCATAGGATGTGATGTTGTTCTTTTCAGACGTGAGTCATGATTGTCTTTGTCATCGACGGTTTCCTGCCCACACCCGTGGGCCAACAAGCTTTGCGCAACAGACGCCGGATTCGCCACGTTGGGCTAAGGCCGTGCTAGAGAGCCCAGTGTTTGAAAGATGCTCTAGACCTGCATTTCAGCAATTTTCGGATTTGCTCACGCACGTGGCACGGCACCAACATGGCCCCGTGCCGTTTCGGACAGCGTGCAAGGCAGCATCGCAGACGCGAAGTGTTGTATCAGGTGTTCCTCTTCGTGGACAGGTTTCGTGCTGTGTCGTTGCAGATCTTCAGTCGTGAATTGATTCTCGACACATTGAGAAGTATAATTTCAGTATGTCCTTTTCTTCGATGCCCTACGGGCAGCATCGCGCCGGCAGCAGCGTATCAATTCTCCCAGGCGTCGTCGGGAGCCCTCTTGGGAAGCCTCACCGTCGTCGTGGCGCGCTCAGAGTCACAGGATCAAGCAATTCACTATGTATTGTTGATGGGAATTGCGTCTTTGTCTCCCTCTCTCTCTCTCTTGTCAGCGTTCGTCTGCACACCGCACGCTGCCAATATTGTCAAACGTTACGCGTTGCACTCGCGTGTTATACGTCATATAGTCTTAGTGTCACCTTGATGCTGTCAGGGCAGTTTCCCACAGCCGTAGAGCGGATCACTGACAAAAGTGATCATGAAGCAACACAGGTCGAAATTAGTCCTACGTGAGGGCGTTGTGTTGTGACGATGTACGCATGGTGTCCCTTGATTGTTCGAAATATCATTGCCGTGATAAGTTGGTTACTCTATAGCTCTCTGTTCGGAATTCCATGTCCGTTGTAGTGCGATCGAGCCTGGCATCCCGCTCACGTTCGAAAGATGAGGTGGATGAAGAGGAGGAGGAGGAGGAGGAGGAGGAGGAGGAGGAAGGCGGAAGAGGGTGGGGACGAAGAGGAGTGGGAGAGACATGAGCAAAAGAAAGTGCATGATGAGGAGGAGGTAACGACGAAGGGTGATTTAATTTAGAAGATTGCATTTGGAGGGCGCGACAGTGTGGCTAGCTTTAGCGCAGTCAAAGAACGGCGTTCTGAGATCGGGCATATTGTTCATCCTAGCTTTCAGGAACCCCAGACACTTCCGATATCATCAAAAACAAGACGTATGGACCAGGACATACTTCACCCACAGGATGCCAAAAACAAATTTTCCATAAAGGAGGTATTGGAGCTGATGATGGGTTCTGAATGGGGGAAGCGGACGAGGAAGAGCAGCAGCAGGATACAGTAAGGAAAAGGATTTGGAGGGGGAGAAGAAGGAGGAGAACGAGGAGAGGGACGAGGTTGGGTTGGAGAGGTGATGAGGGGAGGAGGCGGAGGAGGAGGAGGAGGAGGAAGTGAGGGGAGGAGGTGTGGGCGTATGTCGCCTGACTCTACTCACCGCGCCCGTGGGAGTGGCTGACCGCCCAGGTGGTGCCCTTGCTGTCTATGCTCGACGGCAAGAAGATCGGCATTGCCTCCTGGGCATCCGTGGGTCACTGGATCGAACATGATTCCCAGACCCCTGGCAACTTGAGAGACCAACTGCGCCGGACACATTTCCTGAGTTTGTGGGCATGTCTGACTTTGAACCTAGCTTCGATCCCAGAAAGCACGCAGGTACCATTTGAGGTCGAATCCGGCTGCAGAGAAAACACGAAGCTCCCCAAAGGGGCCCGTCCTGGGCCGTGGTGCCCGGTAGGAGAGGAACAATTGTCTAGAAATAGATGTTCGAACATTTGCACAGACCCCTTGGATCGGGCCCCCTCCCCTGGCGCGCGGAGCGCATCTTTTTTTGTTTCCCTATTCCGAGATGAGGGGCACCCCCTGGAGGAGGAGCATGCATCCTGTCCGATTCGATTATTGTGTGCCTGCATGGCGTTGTTGTGCATACTGGCGTGGCCGATCCGAGCTGATCCAAACTCCGTCCCGATGCGGCCCGATCCGACCCACATTCCAATCCGACCCAATTTCTCGATTCCATGCTGACTGCGGCCGATCCGATTTCCCGATTCCGTGCTGACTGCGGCCATCCAGCTGCGCCGCCGCCGCAACGGCCCTTCGAAGGCCTTCGGAGGGGCTGCTAGAAGCTTCCACCTATTGCCTTGCGACCGCGGGACCAACGAGGAGGGCCGCCCGCGGCGTGGGGAGGACCCCCGCGGCGGCCGCCCCCGCAGAGGTCTGGCCGTGCTGGGCATTGTGCTCTTCGTGGGCCCCGGCGCGCTCGAGGATCCAAGGGGTGGGCAAGCCCTGACCTCCTGTCGTCGGCGTCGTCCTCGGGGGAGGAGGAAGAGGAAAAAGAGGAGGAGGAGGAGGAAAAGGAGGAGGAGGAGGAGGAGGACCAGTGCAAACCCAAGAGTCACCAACGCTGTTGGAATAAACCCTCCCTCCAAGCTCCCTCTTCATAGGCCCCTTACTTAAGACGGTTCATTTCCACTGAGGGAACTGCCTCGTTGGAAGACAACCGTTTGAAGACCTGGAAGCATGCCAAAACATTGGTTTCGGTATTACAATGTCTTGACGATCTTGAATGGCGCTAAAACGCCAGTCTTGGGACTTCAAAACCGCGAACCAACGTAATTGCTGCACCCTCATAATCCTGAATCCTCCCGAAAACACCATGTCTGGTACGTTGACCATGGGAATCCGTGAAACTCTTGCAACGTTTATAAACGAAAACGCGCGGCGCTAAGGATTTTGAAAAGGAACCGCCCTGAACCCGTGAAGTTCTTGCAAAGGTTTTAAACCAATGTGCGCGGCGCGCAGGCGAGAGCCACATCCACCCGCCCTCAAGCCGTGAAGCTCTTGCCATGTGTTAACGAATGTGCGCGGCGCTCATGCGAGAGCCACATTTTGAAAACCACCCGCCCTCAACCCGCGAAGCTCTGCAAAGTTTTAAAACGAATGCGCGCAGCGCTAAGGCAAGAGCCACATTTTGAAAACGACCCGCCTCAATTCGTGAAGCTCTTGCATACGTTTAGAAATAATTTACGCGGCGCTAAGGCAAGAGCCACAGCTTGAAAAGCACCCGTCCTCAATCCGCGAAGCTCTTGCAATTGTTCAAAACGAACGTGCGCAGCGCTAAAGCAAGAGCCACTTTTGAAAACCACCCACCCTCCGTTTGTCAAGCTGTGGCCTATCTTTAAGCGTCAAGGTCATAAATGGTGAGGAAGTCTCAAGCCAAACGCCCGGCCCGCCCTAAAAATCGGCCTCGAGGTGCGACAGGGAGAAGTTATGTATAAGGAGTAAGGAAAAGGAGTAGGAGGAGGAGGTCGTTCCGTAGCCATTGTGGCACAAGCTTGGAGGTATTGTTCAAGAACTTGAGGACTTGGTCGAGGGAGAAGTTGCCGCCCCCACCGTTTTCGCGACTCGTCGAAGCATACCTTTTGCACAACGATTTGATCGTACGATCGGTGTCGCATCCCTTTGGCGATTTAAGGATGGGTCTTTCTGCTTGCGATTTCTATTTTCATCCGTGGGTTACTCTTGCGGCTCTTTCGGGGTGTCTAGGGGCCCTCTTGGGGCTCTTTGGGGGAGGCCTGGGAGGCCTCTGCTCACTGCTACTCTGACTGTTCTCCTGTTGTTTTGCAACGCGGCCCCGAGGTCTCTGAAGCTCTGGGCGTCAAAAGGCAGTGCCAGGACAGGCCCTGCAAGTTCGACGCCATTTTGGCAAGTTCTGCAAGTCGTTGCAGAAGGTCGATGTTCACAGGGACGCACATGATGCTACCATTAGTGATGAGGCTGAGAAATTTGGCTGGCGGGCGCATCAAAGTGGCTCGTGCTGTTCTTTCTGGCGGGAGCGGAAATCCTGCCCATCTGTCCTACAGAGCGCCGCGGCATTGAGAGAGCCAAGTCTACCCCTTCCTGATTGGGCTGGATGGTCCCGTTTGGGTTCGATGGCGCTACAAAGGGTGAGAGCACCATGCCATTGCATTGTAATGTTATAAGAACTCACGTATAGTTGCTTGCTTTCGGGATTCATTTCCTAATTCGGGGGCCCAAGTCAAAACCCTGGGCTGTGTTTGCAAGCCTCCCACCATCACCGGGATAAGGAACCCGAGGAATATGTCATATGGGAAGCACCTTGACAAGAAGGGTGCGGCGGTCGAAGTTCACTATCATATGCCCTTTCCTGTTCGATGATATTGTTAACTCAGCGCCAGCTGTGCCCGAGAGTTGGCTGCGGACTGTCCTTGCACTCTGAGGCATGGGCGTTGCTGCCCCGCCCAACCCAGCAAAAGAGAAGGTCGCTGTTTGTCGCCATCGTCGGAAGGGCAGAAGGCTCCAGCTTCCAGAGGAAACTGCAGGGACGTCCAGCCAAGGTCTCCGTGGAAACCCAGACCAGATGTGCCCCCCCCATAGTCTGAAAAGGGAACCGCACCGTAGACCAGACATTCTTGGCGACGCGGCAACGACGACGACGACAACGACGACGACGACGCCGACGACGACGACGACGGCGGCAGCGGCGGCAGCGGCGGCCGCGGCCGCGGTCGCGGTCGCCCAGCGTCCTCGCCGTCGTCGGGGTCGTCGTCATCGTCGTCGTGGTCGTCGTCATCGTCGTCGTCGTTGCTGCCGTCGTCGTGATCGTCATCGTCGTCATCGTGGCCGACTTCGTCGGCGGCGGCGGACCCCGCGAGGGCAGCGACTGGGGGTTCGGCGACGCCCTGGAGCTGGCGCGCCGCCCGAGCTCCGCCGCCGCCGCCGACGTCGAGGAGGGATCGATCAGAACCACGCCAGGATTTTGGTTTGTGTGCTGCAAAGCCTGCAGGCACGGTGTGTCGCGCAAGGCGCGCTGCTCGGCCGCGCCGTCGGCCAGTCAGTCTTCACCGGGTCGCCAGTGACGTCGGCAGTCCATCGTCTGCATGTGGGGGCCCCTGTCCGGGCCCCAGGGCCGTCAGAGATCGATCCGGCGCGGAAGGTTGGCCAGGATGGACACCCCGAGGGGTTTGGGGACCGATTGTGCGGATGTTGGTCGCCGCCTCCGCCGTCGCGCACCAAGAGGCGCCGATTTTCCGTATCGTCTCTTCGAACGCGAGAGTCAAAGGTCTGATCGAAACCACCGTTGAGATGATCAGCGTCCAGCAATAGTTATAATTTTGACACGCACGGCTGGGATAGCTCCAAAAAGGATATAGGTCAATCCTTCATGCCCACGCTCGGAGTGCCCTCGTGCTCGGATACGTTAAAGAGAAATCACAGACCCTAGCTCTAAGTAGTTGCACCCGTAGCCGAACAAGAGGGGTCGGAAGCCAACCCCATTGTTCCGTAATACATTGCTTGTTTTTTGAGTTGATGTTAGCAGCGCAAAACCAAGCCAAATTTTGGTGTCGGGCCCCAACGCATTTGGGTTGTTCGGATCGGCGGTTCAGACTATGGCTGCCGCCCCCTCGCCGATGAGAGAAATCTTGTCTTGCCTCACTATGGGGTGCCAGTGTTGTACTGCTCTGTGTTCTTGCATATTCTCACAGTTACCAGATCATCCGCAGTATCCCCGGCCTCGCGATCATCCGTGATGATTGTTGCATATTTCGGTGACGATGTTTGCGTATTTTTTTGACAATCTTACACGTACTGATACATGAATATTGAATATATTTATGTATATATATAAATGTGCATGCATCTATATATATATATATATATATAAATATTAAAAAAAACAGGTGCATTAACGAAATAATAAGTCTTGTTTGTACATTCATACATACACAAACACTTGCGCATGTAATACTGTATATGTCTATAGAAGGCCACTTGTTGTACCAATGGAGGGAGAGAGGAAAGAGATTATTCTGGCAGTGATTCGATTGCACGGTTGGACATTTTCGTTTTGGAGAACATCGGAGGCAGAAACACAGCCTGTCGTTGTGTGAGTTCAACAAATTCGTAGGTATTGCCATTAGTTCGGTCGTCACCGTTGAGAGTAACAATTACTTGTTCCAGGTGGCGGGAAGCATCCGACCGTGAAACACTTAACATGTAGCAGGCATGGAGAGAAGGAGCGGGAGCGCACGAATCCAGGGAGGGTGCAGAGAGTCACGCGCTTGGCATGTCACCGTATTCGTCTAGGCTCGAGTTGTTGTGCAGGCGTGGGTGCTAAACTGCACCGCAGCGGCCCCTCGCGAGCCGACTGGAGATTCATATTCGAACCGCCAGATTTGCCACAGAGAGTCATCATCACCATCTGGAAAATGCTTCAGCATCAGCAGGCTGTCAGGATGTCCTCTGGCTGGGTCACGTGGGGAAGGGATGGGGAGCGGAAGGGGAGGAAGAGAGGAAGAGGGCGGGAGTAACGATGAGGAAGCGGATTACGAGGAGCAGAAGCAGACCTAGATTTCCGACGTCGCGATTGCTCTATCTTCTCCCAGGGAACAGTTGTTCATTCCGGATCACTGTCTTGATGACCGCAAGGCCGAAAGAAAGTTCGAAGATTCTGACGATGGTGAAAAACAGGTCTTGTTGAATTCAACAATGGAGGTTCGGGGAGGAGGAGGACACAGGGAGGAATAACGAGGAGAAACCGCGGAGGGAAAGGGGAGAAGGTAGAATGAAAGGGGGCAGGGGGTTGGATGGAACGAAGGGGGGAGGACGGATGAGGGCGCATGAAGGAGCGGGGGGGAGAAGGAAACGGGGGGTCCAAAGCCATTTTGGTTCAAGCCATTGTTATTCAAGCTGAAACCTCAAAGCCCTGGGGGCTTCAGCGTGGGCGCAGCCAAGGGGCAGGCTCGGGCCCCGCGCATTCTGACAGACAGGCCTGCCACCTGCCACCCGGCTTTGTGAGCTCCTGCTGGAGCAACATACGCTCCAGGCTTGCACGCGATGCACCTGGGACATCCATGAGTCCGATGGGTGTGTTTCTTGGTCCCAAGAAGTCGGCGTGGGCTGCACACGCTGTCATCGGCCAAGCAACAGGGCCAATCGGATCCACTGCGCCTGTGGCTCACACGCGCCCCTGTCAGTCCAGAAGCCGGTCAAATCAGCACATGAACAAATGACGGCGACAAGCGTTCTCGGGGCCCAAAGGCTCGTAGCATAATGGCCTTTTGAACTCGGGCCCGACGCTGCAGACCATCTTGAAGCGCCTCGACGGCCTCGAAAAAGGCCGCTTGTCCCCTGCACCACCATGGGTTGCTGCGTCTACAGATAAGGAGGATGAGACTGTCAAGGAGATCAAGACCGCCTGGTTTATTGGCAGCAGGCAGCCAGATCGCATGCCATAAGGATGATAAGCACCCAGCGGAACCAATGGTGGAGAAATTGCAACGACACACGCGCACACAGGATGTGGAGCCTATGCACGTTCAGCAACAGTGCATCACCACGCGATTGGCTCGGGCAACGGATGTGTCCACGAAATTCGAGTCCAACCTGGATTCCGTCAAAGCTGAGACGGAGGAGGCCAAGACAACCATGCAGCAGAAGTTTGATCTCAGCAGCGCCGGAAAGAGGCGAAGTCGAGTCCTTCGAGCACGAGGCCGCAGAAAATTTCGCCAAGTCCGCTGCAGCAGGTGAATTGTATCTTCTGAAGATGGAGGAGCACCAATCCTTCAATGCATTGGAGGACCTCAAGACGTCATCCAGGCTTCAGAAGCCAGACCAGTTGACAGGCAGTCACGCCAAGGTCCTTCTGGGCACGTTAGAGGCCTGACGACATGCTGGTCGACAAGGACGAGCCGGATATGATCACCAAAGCCACCCCCCACGCGCAGGAAGTTGAGCAGGCAGCAGTTGCAATTGCCGAAGGCGAAGCACGATATGCTTTTCGAATGGCAGTCAAGTGCGCCAGGAAGAAGCTCCAGGAGCAGATCGGACATGGCGCAGCGAAGATGTAGCAAGTTGGACGTGCAGTCGAACCACATGGAGGCGCACAGGATGCACGACGAGCACATCATCCCTGTGCCGCGAAGCACGCGGCACGAACATGATGGTCCGGATCGTGAGGAATTTTCGGCTGGTTTGTTTCGCAAGTTGTTTGTTCGCCAGGGGTCAGCGCTAGCACCCCTGCGCCAGTGCCAACTGATCTGCGCCCAGGGTCAACGTTACCATGTTTTCCCGAAGGGGCCCGTGCTAGCACCCCCGCGCCAGTGCCCACTGAGCTGGGCTCGGGGTCAACGTTGCCTCGTTTTACCCGCGGCGGGATCTGCGCCAGCACCCTCGAGCCAGCGCCAACTGAGCTGCACTTGGCCACAGCCGCCACGCACGGAGGTCGATGTTCACGGCGGCTCTGGCTGGAGATTCTAAAGCGCGAGCGCGATCGATCTCGAATGGCCAAGGGTTGGGCGCCAGATCCTTGCCTTCCGACCTGGCAGACAGTTCAGCAGTGCATCGGGGGCGCCAGTGGAGACATGGACTTCGTCGGTCGGGTCGTCGTCGTCGTCGACTGCCGCCCCGGCGGGCGCCGCGCTCTTCGCCACCGAGGTAGTGGAAACTCCTCCGTAAACGAAGCCCGCGCGAGAGTCGGGAACGGCAGCCGTTGCGCCCTCGAATCGCTGCGAGGGATCTTGCGTTTGGGAACGTCGCAGCTCGCCGCGCGCGGCAAGTGTTCCGCCCGCGGCGGGCGCGCCAGGTCGCGTCGCTCGGCTCCGGCGCGGCGCTCGCGCCTGTTCCGCTCGCCGACGACCGCCTCTGAGGAACCGCGCGGAAGCAGCCCCCCTCTACCCTCTCGGCGAGGACACTCAATGCAACGCAGGCAAGAACGCTGCTGGGGGCAGTCTTGGTCGGGCGAAGAGAACTACGCACATGCACCGATCCTGGCAAGGACCATCCTTGACCCAGGATGGGTGCATATGCCTTCCTGGCCAAGGCAGGAGGGCGTACGCACCGATCCTGGGCTCAGGATGGGCCTGGCCCGAATCGGTGTGTGCGCATAGTTCTCTTTCCTCTACTTGGGGCCCCCCCGCGCGCAACGCCAACGATTAGAATGCGCGGGAACGACACTGGCCGGCGCATGGAGGGCGCCCGCGGGCCCAAGCCTCAACTCTGGGCTGGACTGGGGACCCGGGCCCCCGGGGGCGCCCCGATTGTTCCGCGCACGGGGCGTTGGCGGACCCGCGTGTTCAACGTGGACTTCGCCTCTGCCGTCGCCACCGTGGACGGCGCCCTCGCGACCAGCGTCGGATGTAGGCCGCGCGCGCGTCGACCAGTCCACGCCGTCGCCTCGCGAATTGATGGCGGCCCCCGAGGCACAGGACGAGTTGTTTACTAGACATGTGAATAGACGCATTCCCGGCGGGGGCGTCTGGCCCCCTGCTCGCGCCCATCGATCGGCAGGTGCCGGCGAGAATAGCCATGGGCTCGCGATGGGGCTCGGAAAGTTAACGCGCGCTCTTTCGGCCCCTTGGGTCGACGGACGCAACGCCGACGCGAATCCAAACAATGGGGGCCCCCCGGCGTGGCGGGTGGAGTTCGACGCGCCCGCTGCATCCCCGCGCGCCCAAACTTCTGCTGATGGCCAAGGTCAGGCGCGCGACTTGCCCATTCTCTCTGCCGGCTTGATCTCGCGCGTTGAACGCATCAAGGTCTCGCGCGAGGCCCCGAGTTCGCCGCGCCCCCCCGCCGGAATCACGTCGGAGGGCGCCAGACTGGACGCCCCTTCTCACGTTGGGCGCACCCGGGCGCCGTTCCCACCCGGCGACCTTTCGCATTTGCTAGGGAACCGATCCGACATCATTGGGTTGGGAATGCCGAGGGCACGGGCGATCCGGACTCGAGCCCGGCCCGGGGCCCGCGGATCGACGCCGTGGATCTGGAGCGCCGTCAGATCTTCGATATCCGGGGGGGCGAACAGGACAAGTTCGCCGGCAGAACTGGCGGTTCCAACAAGAATCTGACCCCCCTGGACACGATCGTCACAGCGCAATGGATTGCGACTTCCAGCGTTCAGTTGCGCCCGCGGAGACCCGCAATTGGCCCGCTCGGCGCGGCCTCGCATGGATGGGGCTAGCCTGGCTATTCCCAAGCTGTAGCAGTCGCTGCGCAATCCCATTATACAGCTGGACAAGAACGCACTGGGCCATGCGTTTTTAGCGCCTCGCCAACAGCCCGCCTGGAATGATCGGCACGATTGAGGAGTCGAGCTCGGGTTCCTTTGGCCGCCCGCCACGCCGACGCACGGGAAGCCCACGCGCGACCACCCCAAAGAGAGACGGGCGAGAGATCGGCGGCAAGGCAGCGCGCCTTGCCCGGGGGGGACAGCCCGCTGCAGGGGCCCCATCGGGCCCGAAGGCCGGCAGCTGCAGAGGAGAGGGGCAAGCGTTGGATGCATCATGACGCCCCCCCCCCCCACGCCCCCCCCCCCCCCCCCCCCCCCACCCAGCAGCTGGCAGCGCCAGTTGGCCGCTCTCGCCCGTTGCGCGAGTGAATCATTGGGTTTCTGATACATTGGGCTTTGAGTGAGTTTAAACGCGAGACGGGTCTTAGAACCGACTGCCTGAACCCAGGGAATCGGTCGCTCTTGCCCGAGCCTTTCCCGGAGGGATTGATCGACCTGAAGATGATTTGGGAACGGGAGCTGCCTTTCCCGATGAAGTATGCTACCCCCATTGCGTTCAGGGCAAGCCTGAACGTCCTGGAGCGCGCCCAGCAGCCCCCACTGTCCGCGCCCTGAGGGCTCGGGCGAGGGCGAGGTTAGGTCTGGGGAGCACGATCACGCGGCTCAGATGTTCGGGAGCGGCAGGGACACGGAATGCGATAGAGCCGGTGGGCAATGTGATGCCATGAATGAGTTGGCCAGACTTGGCAAGTTCGAGAGTGCGCCGTGGCTCGGGAACCTGGGCAATTTTTGCGAGAGTAGACCCAGCGATCTTGTTCGACGAGGCGCAGGCGACAGGGCTGCACGCGGGCCTGACCAGGGCGGCCATTACGGTCTACACAGACGCTCGCGCATTACCTATTCAAGGCGCACTGTCCTCTCGGTCCGAGGCCACCAGCGCGATCTTGACAGGATGCAACGCGGTGCTATACAGGTTGTTGGTTGCCGCCACTCGGTCACGCCCCTCGCTCGCGACCAGGAATGCGATCGACGATGCGCCCGCCCATGCGATTGGCACCGCTGCGTTTGTCGGCGAGCAGCAAGCAGGGGCAACGGTTATGATGGAGAGAGGGCGTTCTATTTTGAAGTTGGTTATCTCATGTCAGAATGCGTTGCCTCGCCTTGGTTGTTGCTGCAGAAAGTCGATGAGGAATGGGCTGCGCCTTGCTTCATCCACCACGCGTTCGTCAGATCCTCGGGACGCGGCGCCGCTACTAAGAGGGTTTGCAGGAACCCGACGGCTTGGAAAGCACGGGCTCAAGTTGGCAAGATCTCCACGCGCATTGCGAGACTCAGACATGCGGGGGTCTTGGTGGGCAATATCCAACGAGCGGGCCCTCAGACATGCGGTCGTTGGGGTTCTGCAGTGGCTTGTCTCGCTCCAAGGCAGACCTATAGTATGCGACTGGCTGCGACTAGCGGCTTGCGCGGGGGCGCGTCTGGGGCGTCGATGTCTGTCGGGCCCAGGAGCTGTTCTATCGGGGTAATGATGGGCCCGCGCGTGGTGCACCACAGCAGCGTTGTTTTCCAGTGAAGCAGGGCGATCCAGGATGGAACCCTTGGGCTCGACATTCGACAGCTCGTTTCTGAATGGGCGCCAGACGACCTCTGGAGGGCTAAGCGCCCGCGGTGCTTCGCCACTGCCCCAGCCCATGTGAACCAGCCCGCGCTGGTCGAGATTGGTTAGAGATCTCGATCGGCCAGATTGGTCCAGCGCAGCGAGAGTTCGACCATCGACTTGCCGGCGATGGCGCCCGCGATGATCAAAGATCGCGCGGAGATCGATGCATGACATTGGGCTGACAGATGGCCCCATCCAGTCGAGACCCAAGCAAAACTCTGTCCGGTGCCTGCCCATATTTTGGGAAGGAGCTTAGGGCTCATGAGCGGGAGGCGTCTGATGCATGGACTAAGCACCACCATTCTTGCGCCAGGAACGCGCTTGCTTCAGAAATTAGGACCCAGGCCAGGCTTAAGGAGCAGGGGCTGGCCGAGGACGAGTTCGGTCATCGTTTCTCTCGGCCGCCCCAGGCGTTCGTTGTCATGAGAGATTCAGCCACGAGGTGTTCGAAGGAGACCGTCGCCCGTTTCGTCCCTCGCTTCCCCGCGACGCCACGCTGCAGGCCGGCACACGGGATCAGGTGTTCGAGAATTTTGCCGCGGGAGTTTTGCCGCAGCCCAAAGAGATGATATTATTGTTCTTGGTTTATGACATGTTCCCTGCGTTTGGGGTCAACAAGCTTGTTTCGGGCAAACTCTATTTGCTCGGGCGGTTTTGTAATGAATTCAACGCGCGACGTTGAACACAGAGCGGGGTGGAGCCTTGCTCAAGTCAAAGACCATGGAGGAGTTGCCCACGTTGTTTTCGGGCCTCCCCCCTGCGATGTGTTTCCCGTGCGACAGACTCCGGATGGAGAGGACTATGCCTACAGGATGGCCGCTGGTCTTACTCACCCGTTTCTCAAGTTTGAGCTTAACACAGAGCGTTTGTGGATTATTGGGCGCGTCTGGGATAGGGCCATGAGCGGTTCGCCCCATAACCCCAGGGCCCGCGTATGGAGTCAGGTTTGGCAAGTGTTTGAGAGCGGTCTTCGGGCTAGGAAAGTCATGGGCCATGC